CGAGATATTTGCGAATGATGGAGGTGGGGGTCCCCTGTTTTCAGAGGTAAAATTAGTGAGAAAATGGCCGCCAAAGATTAGTTATTTCCTTAACTTTAGAGTCCGCGGTAACTAAAAATGTACATTTTTTGCGCCTTTAATCAACATTTTAAAGAAAAATCCACACAGAAATGAGTTCGTTAATGGGCATGAAAGGTGTTGAGCCAAAAAACAAAAATTTGATTTAAAAAACAGAAACCTGAGAGAAAATGCAAGTTCTTCACTTTGATTATCTTGACGAGAGCCTGATTCCACCACGCTGCCTCACATATGAACTATGACACCACGCTTGCCACCTTTTCTAATCGCTGCACACTCAGGCCCCAGGTGATTGCTTCATCCCTTGTTGTGCCTCTGTAACTTCCATTTGGTCCACCTCTTTTCTTTCTTTTTTCCAGTTGGTCTCCAATGCCATGTCCGACAGAGCAATCTTGTCCTCGACATTCTCAAAACATGTCCCAAATATCTCCATCTTCTAATTTTTATGAAAGTGTTGGTTGGTGGTTTCAATTGCTGCTGTTTCTAGTACTTCATCATTTGTAATACATTTATTTAAAAAGTGGCGATGGTGGCCAAGTGGTTAAGCTACCGGACTCGTAATCGTGAGGTTGCGGGCTCGAGGGTTCGAGCCTCAACTCGTCAGACGTTGTGTCCTTGGGGGAAAGGCACTTTAGTTGAAATTCCAATTTGGCTCAGTCCTTTCGGAGATGGAGGTTAAATTCGGAGGTCCCGCCTCTTTAATAACTTTAAAATTTTGACAGAGGTGTTAAACCGTACCATTTCGCCTGTTCACCATTTCATTAATAAAAATCCATAAATACCATTCTTCACCAACATTTTATTTGGAAACTTTCAAATTTCCGTTGGAATAATTATTATGTTGTCTGTTCCTCCTTCAGAGACGTATGTGTGTCCGGTGACCCACTTCAAGTGCCACAACCACGTCTGCATCCGGAGAGACAAGACCTGCGACTTCGTGGACGACTGTGGCGACAACTCGGACGAAGAGTTTTGCGGTGAGAACATTGTTGATTACTTCCCAAGTTCGGGAAATATTACATCTATTATCTATTTGTGTTGGCCGAATTTTGTTATTCAAAAGGCTTTTTAATGGCTGCATCGATCGACATGCAGTTTTCGCCAAAAGATTCTTGGAAATATTCTCCAGATCATGACGGCCTTCGTTTTTTCAGTTTTGAGACAGTTTTGCTGAAAAAAGCTAAATTTCTTTATTTTACCGATCGCTTTTGTAGGCCGACGCTTTTGTCTCTGCAATTTTAGAAAATCCGGTGCGGAAGTGATATTACGCGAGGCGCATTTAGTTTTTAGAGTATCGATCTAGATCTAGACCTTCTGATTCTTTGCATCTCTCAAGATTTATTGCTCCATTCCAGTAGAGTGTAAATATAGTAGGCCAATGACTTTCAGTTGATGTTAATGCACCGATCATTCCTTTCATCGAAAGGGGGCCCAGCTAGTTGTTTTATATGTTTAATTGTTTCGTTTTGGGATTTTAAAAGCAATGTTTCTTTTAGGGCCTTGGGGTCAGGATTGATCGTCTTATGTCCTACTCTTTGTATTTCTGAGTGTCTATCTGTTTCTCTCGTGTGTTTTTTTCTTCTCCTCATTCTCTCTCTGTCTCTCTCTGTCTCTCTCTGTCTCTCTCTCTCTCTCTCTCTCTCTCTCTCTCTGTCTCTCTCTGTGTCTCTTTCGCTCTGTCTCTCTCTCTGTCTCTCTTTGTCTCTCTGTCTCTGTCTCTGGCTATGTCTCTCTCTCTCTCTCTCTCTCTCTCTCCCCCTCTCTCCAC